ACACACACACACACACACACACACACACACACACACACACACACACACACACACAGGCAGAGACACCGGAGGATGTTTTTAATAACAATCATCTACCTTGGCCCAAAACACAAGGTCTCGTACTGAACACAATGTATCATTTGTCGTCCTACTCTGTATATTTCATATAAAATTATATCACTATTATAGACTTCACTTAGTGAGTATGACTACATGTRTTCAATATGATCCTGCAATGTTTTCAACCATAATAATAAATGTGATGGACTCACATGTTTGAGCATTGAGGACAGAYGGGGTTGCAGAGTTGCGGGGAAACAAGGCGTACAGGCTAATGACGTATTCTGTGTCGGGCTGAAGAGACTCCAAAGTGGCCGATGTGGCATCGGCAGGCAGGGACAGCTCCAGCAGCTGAGCCGCTGGCTGRCCTGATCAAGGAGCGAAGCAAACAAATGTGATGGATATGGAAAATACAAATTAAAACTTTACRGTAAGAGCAAGAAAAAATTAAATTAAACTTACAGAGTTATTAAACTGACAGCTACCTGTGCAACAAATAGATTAACTGTTGTGTCTTTTTATTGCAGATGGTTTAATGAGACTGAATCTTTGCAGGAAAGAATAGGTGGTTTTGCATTTTTCTTGTGGCTGCATTGAATAAAATATAAAAATAAAAATATTAAAGATGCACAATGTCAAAGCTACAAGGTTAGCATGTGTGAACCTTTCATCAAAAGGAAATTTTAAATCTTTATTTGAAAAGTCACTGCTGTCAAACATGTATTCAGTGGTTTATTTAAAGCTTTTGACCACAATAAAACAAATATTTATTTCCTGTCTTTGTCATTTTTAGTGAATTGTACAAATGGGAGAAAAGTGGGTGAATTAAATTCATTGTAGGTTTATTCTTAAATATAATAAAGAGCTGAAACAATTAAGAGTCCAAACATTTTCCAAATGCACTGTAATCACTCTAACACAGCGAGGAGTCTAACAAGTTTGACGGTGAGCTTAGTGTGAGCTTCCTGAAGCAGTGAAATGAGACTGGCACTCCTGCCACATGTTCAGAGGGAGAAACTACAGTAAATTAACCCTCAGGGGAACAATTTTCTCTCCTGACTCTTTGTGTAATCACCCAGATCTCTTGACACAGCCTGTCTACAGAAATYCTAGAATTCAATTACAAATTACCATGTGATGTGGCTTAAATTTAGCCTGGTCTACCCAACATTCTTGATACGGTTTCAACTTGCCACTAATAACTTAACTGTTTTTGACTGTCGTGCCTCAGTTTATCCTAATACTTCAATCTGATAAGATCCGTGTTTGTAACAAAACAATTAAGCAAAAATTTAATTAGAGGACAAATGAAGACTGAGAAAACAAGTATACTGTGTGTTAGCCTGACCTCGAGGCCCATATGTAAGTCTGTAGCCCTGGACAAGAGATGAAGGTGGATCCCATCCAACAGACAGGGAGAAGTAGCCTGCCTGCACCAAGCTTAGACTGGAGACACCTGGTAATGACCCTGTATGAGGTAAAGAAACAAACAGTTGCATTAATGTTATACCAAGGGGAATTGGCATTTTTGTTCATCACTTCTTGCTCACTGGTTCTCTGCTTGGCAGAAGTGGACTCGCCAACACTGTTGGGGTACTGGGCGATGATAGTCACTAGGTAGTCTGTTCCTGACCTGAGCTCTTGCACCGTGAAGGTCCTCTGAGTGGCCGAGACAGTCTCCTGCAGAGAAAGATAAATCTTACATTGGTAAAATGTATTTTCTAATTTCAGAATTTCTTAAACATTGGACTCTAACAACATTATTTAGCCAATAAAATGTTTTTTTTAACTACAAGTAAAGATAAATTTATTGGTTCCCTTCTTCATCTTCTTCTTGCAGATTTATGATGCTTGGCAAACAACTTAGGGTGCATTACTGCCACCTTCTAGATTGGATTATTGACCAGATGCAAAAATTTTACTATATTCTTTCTAAATTACCTGTTCGTCTTAAGAACCTAAATATGCTGGTAAAAAATTGTATAGGTTCCCATCTCCAAATGTCAACGCATCCTTTAACAAACAGTCTCACCTGTCGCAATTCTGCATTGATTGGCTGGCCCAGGCCAGAGAGTGGCACATACTGAATCACATAGCCACTCACGGGGCCCCCGGCAGGATTCCAGCGGAACCTAAGTGAGTCTGTTGTCTGGCCTGTGAACTGAATATTGGACGGACCAGAAAACGCCTCTGAAAGACGAAGACAGAGACATGAACCAACCTCTAAATATAAAACTATCTTCGGTAAATGTGACTTTATCAAAAGGTCAAAGTGAACACACATACCATCACTCACATAGACTCCTCCTGCGACTGAACACACTCGAGGACCAACAAGAGGAAGGAGTGTGTTTAGCAGCTTAAAGTCTCCAACAAAGGAGGTGAAATCATTGCTGGGCTGTGAGGAAATTTGAGCCAGTTCGTTCCTGTCTGCACTCTTTATGCCTAAAGTACAGAAAAGAAAAACCATAAGCAGTTTATTGCTATGATAAAAGAATAAGAATAAAAAAATACCCACAAAAGACACCCACCTACTGCAAAAACCTTTACTCCCTGACTGCGCAGCTTCTGTGCCGGCTCCTGCACACGATCCTGAGATTTCCCATCTGTGATCAGGATATTGACCTGAAAGTCAAAAAGGTTGCATTTACTTAGACTTACATTTTTAAACAAATCAAAACATAAGAATGAAACACTGTGGCGCTTGAACCTTTGGAACGTCCCGCAGGGATGCAGGGTTGAAAAAATTATCTGAGACAAACTTGAGACCAGCTCCAGTGCGCGTGTTTCCACCCTTATAGCTTATATCCTGCACCGCTTTGATAAGCTCAGTGCCATTCAGGTATGTAYTAAAGGTGAACTCAACCCTGGGGAAAGAAAAACAGAGACGATTAGCTAATGTTTCCCCTTCAGTAAAGACCAAGGGCAATTAATAATCTTGTCAATCACCTTGAGGTGTCGCTGTACTGTACAGCCCCAAACCGAATTCCTGACGCGCTGACGGCGCTGGCGAAGGGCTTCACAATTCCAGCCATGAAGCCCTTCACCTGTAGAAAGTTTGACCGACCAATACTCGAAGACCCGTCAATCAGGAAAACTATATCTGCTGCCTGCACATTATTACACCTGCCTGCAGAGTGACATCCATGAGTYAAAACACAAAGCATTTGTTTTCTAAAGGAACAAAGTTGTTATGTAATTATTCTGCATTGTCTCTACAGGGACGCATATAACTTTTTTGTTATGTGGTGGTATTAAATAGGACATATCAAGCTTTTAAATCCTTTCTTTTCACATTTAAATAATTCAGTCTATATGAAGTGGAACTGTAATGCTTTGGTTTGAATTCCTCCTTATTGTAACTCCACAAGCTCCTCTTTCACCTCTTTGAGGTGCGTGAAGGCTGGATTATACTTTGAGTCGCACGTCTTTTTCCCCTTGCTGAGTGACAAAACATTGTGTAACATCCATCTGCTCTCCCACTGCTATCCCCTGGTGACAGCCGTTGTGTGCATTTCCCCTAGTCAGAACTCTGTGATGCAGACCTTGCGACTCGGAGCGTATGATTGGTTAGAACTTTGTGGGTGTGTTTGTTCATGAGGAACACCACAGCAGTCTACTCTGCCTTCTGCAGGTTATTTTGTTTAAAATTATAATTTTATTTTGTCTCAAGCCTGTTGTTAAAAGAGCTAGAAGATCAGCTGCTTTATTCCTATGGAATGTGAGCAGCTGATTTTCACATATTTTTCCATTACCACCGTTAACATRGAATAAAAAAAAACATGTTTCCTCCGCGGACTCTTCACCCAACAAAACACTGATCATTTAGTGATTAGAAAACAAATATCCAGCCATCATTATTGCTGTTYATRTACTTACATGRGCTGTGGGAGGGCAGAGGGAGGATCTTTAATAATTTATGACCCTTCTCAGGAAAAAGACGTGCAAAATGATGCAATCTCCACGTCATAATGAAGTATAATCTGAGCTTTATCAACTCATTTTTGTTTCTTTAAATGCAAAYAAGGCACTTTTTACCCCACCCCCCTCCAGTTCTCACTCCCACTTACAGTAACATTGTCCACTCAACCCCTTTTGGACAGTTTTATAGTTTGATAGCAGAGATATGACAAAGAACCTCTGTTCCGGGACGACTGTGGAAACTCTGTAAATTATGGTGCAAAGAAAGATTTTACATAAAATCAAGAACATTGTGGACAACCCTGACCATCCTCTTCATCAGTCTGTCATAGAAAAACAGTCTTCAGTCAGAGRCTTCTTCAATTTGTTGTAATACAGACCGCTAGACAAGATCTTTCCTGCCCACAGTCATCAGCATCTACGATAACTCTTCAGTTAAATGAGTTACAACAACACCTAATTTC